GGCTGGGGGGTCTTCACCCAGACGGTGGCTCTCGGTCAGGACGGGTCAGAGCGGGACAGCGCTTTGGTGTTTTGGGGACATCCTGCCCGGGGCAGAGCTCCCAGGGCCCGGCAGCCTCTCTGGGGCGCTCCCGATGTGCGTGAACAGCTGGATGCTGCCTGGGATGGATCTTTGGGATCCCACCAGTAGATGTGGTGTCCATCCCCCAGCCTGGCCAGGCAGCGTGGGCAAGGGAAGGAGAGCACAGCAAGGGGCTGGCCAGACACACTCCTCCGTGGAGGGATGGCTCCTGCTGCTGGGGAGTCCTAACCCAGGGCCAAAGCCACCCGGGAATGGGATTTCCCACCCGCAAACACCATTTCTTCAGTTATTAACACAAGCCGGGCTGCAGCACGGCCCTCCAGAGCCGGTTCCTGGTCCCGGTGCTGTGCCCAGGCCAACGGTGCCACTCACCTGCCCTGGAAAAGCTGCTCTCCTCCACTGCAACGACAACACAGACATGAGATGAGCGAACGGCCATGGCACCCTCCCCTCTTCCCAGCGCCAGCACCACCGGCGCCACGTCCTCCGCTGCTCCCAGCACCGCACCGCACAGACGCGGTGTGAGGTACAGCTGTGGGGTCCTCTGGTTCTGCTCCACCGCCACCCCACCGGGCTCACCCTGCCCCGAGTGCTGACCCAGCCACTGAGACACGCACAGCCCACCACTGAGCCCAGGGGGGACTTGCAGACCCCAGCGCCAGCTCCTACAACCTCCCTACACTGGAGTTGCCCAAAACACGTGGCTGGTGCGGGACAGAGCTCTGCCCTGCAGCACCCTCCCCAGACCCCCAGCTCACCCCACATCAGCCCAGGCTCCAGGGGGAGCAGGGAGGCCCTACCTCGGGGGATCTTGCAGATGACCCCCATGGTGACGTTGGTGCAGGAGCCCAGGCGCCACACGCCATTGCTGCTCTGGATCCAGTAGCAGCTGTTCTGGCTGAGCATGCTGGGCCCCGTGTCGTGCTGGCCCCAGTTGGAGTAGTTCACGGCGGTGTTGTCATGCCAAACCAAGGTGCCACCTGGGAAATGGAAGAATTAGGTCTGGAGAGGCTGAAGGGGATGCCCCATCTTTGTCCCAGTTCAGAAAGCATGGGGAGGTGTGATGGGGCGACGAGGAGGTGTGATGGGGCAACAGGGAGGTGCGATGGGGCGACGGGGAAGTGTGATGGGGCAACGGGGAGGTGTGATGGGGCAACGGGGAAGACCAGGGGTTGCAGGGCACCTTCCTGAACCTGCAGGCTCCAGTGCCTTGGAGAAGGCTCTGGGCTTGAAAGCCACCACTCCCACCACCCCAAGCCAGAGGAGGACACACATGGCATGTCCAGCATGGCCTGATGCTATGGGGCTCTTGGTCACACCATGGCATGAGCCCCCCACATTGGTGCCACCACCAAGGGCTTCCTCTGCTCACTGCAGGCCTGGTGGGAATTCATGGTGTTGCCTAAGGGGGATAAAACCTTGTTCCTTCCTTCGTACCTTTGGGGTTAAAGGTCATGCCCAGCCAGGCACCCTTGGACGGGCCCTCGTACGCCTGGAGGTGCTCCCACACAAAGACGTTTTCCGTCTCATCCTGGATGGACAACACCGTGCCACCGACTGTGGAGAAAAGAGTGTCAGGGAAGAGTGCAGAGCTTGGAGGATGGAGCTCAGGAGCAGCAGTGCTCAAGAGGACAAAGCTGAGAAACCACACACAAACCACGTGGAAGCTGGGGAACGCCAACATGTAATAATAAAGAGGAGATGATGGCTGCCCAAGGCTGGACATGAGCACAGAGACAGGGGTCCCATTCATGCACCCACAGGCATCGTAGGGACCCCATCCTCTTCCATCTCCAAGGATGCGTCCCCCCCCTCCGGCCACCACAGCCCCCCCGTACCTTTCTGGCACCTCCTCATGGCATCCTTCTGCCCCAGGGTGATCTCCATGTGGAAGGTGTAGCAGTGGTCCCGGAAAGGGGGTGGGCCCCCCAGCGTCTTGGGCCACCTGCCACTGTAGCTCCACTTGTGCGTGCGGGGGGCACCTGGGGAGCACACGGTGCATTGGGGGGGGGATTGGGAGGGGAACAGGGTGTCAAGGTCCCACAGCACATTGGGACACCCAGTCCTGCAGGGACATGCACAGAGCTCCAGGAGGTCCCCGGTGGGATGCCATCTCCAACCCTTGGCTGTTCCCTACCCAGTCTGCCTCCCGCCAAGCCCCCGCATGTCCCCCCCATGGCAGCACCTGCTTGAAGCTGGCAGATGCCTCCCTGCAGCTTGGTGTCACAGCCGGCCGTGCGCCAGCTCCCGTCCACGTCCATGTAGGAGCAGCCCATGACCTGCTGGGGCTCCCCGTCCTGCCAGTTGGCATAGAAGAGGTTCTCCTCTGTCAACCACGACT